TCCGACGACGTAGCCTGTAAAGGCTGCGAAACGTCAATAAATAAATAAAGTTTCGTGCATTAACCCGTAAAAAACTAGTTTTATTTAATGAGTGATGTGCGTGAAAACCTAAGAAACAAATATGTTTTGCATCCTTTTCAGGATGCGTCGTCTGAGTTATAATATATGTTTGTTAACCTGATAATAATTTGAAACGTCAATAAATAAATAATTCAGTGCATCTTAACCGTTATAACTAGTTTTTTTTAATGAGTGCGGGAAAAGTTAATACTGATAAATTATGTATATTTAAACTTTTACATTAGAAAAAGTCTTTAGTATATGTAGGTATAAGATATGTAGATAGTATGGCAGATAATAAAATATTTAGGTTTAGCTGTTACATAATATAAACAGGTGTTTTCTCTATGAAATATATAAAGAATGAATCATACAATCACATTGCAAAGATAAGTGTCATATTAAATATCGTTGCTAAAAACAATGTCATCATCATTAGCCTATTAATGTCCCCACTACTGGGGTACAGGCCTTCCTTATGGATGGAATAGGGATTGGGCCATGACCCACCACGCGGGCCCATTACGGATTTGTGGGTGCTAACGACTGCAGTTGCAGCCGGGACCAACGGTGTAACGCGCCTTCTCAGAGAAGCTTCACGCCTTTAGGAGCTCGGCATTTCAGATTTTTGGCCACCCATCCCCTCATCGTCCACTGCGAAAGTTGCTTAACTTCAAGGATCGCAGCCGAACGCGTAACCCGCGCCATCGAGCTCCTCATTTGATGCGTATCGAGATGGAATTTGATATCGATCCTCGAACTATCGTTAGCATGTTCGGCTGCAATCGTTGAAGTTAAGCAACTTTCGCAGTGGTCGGTCATTGGATGGGTGACCAAAAAAATTTACTATCTCGAGCTCCTCCGTGCTTCGGAAGGCAGGTTAAGCCGTTGGTCCCGGTTGCATCTGCAGTCGTTAGCACCCACCAATCAGCACTGGGTCCGCGTGGTGGGTTATGGCCCAATCTCCCTATTCCATCCATATGGAAGGCCTTTGCCCCAGCAGTGGGGACATTAATAGGCTGATGATGATGATGATGATTAGTTCGTGTTGAGGATAAAGAACACCAACACTCTCGTTTCCCTACATTCTCGTATATATTAATGTTACAAATACGAAAATGAGTCTGTCACTCTGTTATCTCGCTTCTTCACACTTAAACTGCTGAAACGATTTAGATCAAATATGGCATAAAAATGGTGAGAGTCCCGGAAAAGGACGTCAATTCAATTCAATTGAAATATCATTTATTCAGTTTAGGCTTTTACAAGCACATGTGAAAATGAAAAACTACGCCATCGGTTCGCAAAACTACGGCGCGAGACCTTGTACTGAGAAGAACCGGCAAGAAACTCAGCAAGGGCTGCTTTTTTCTCCAGGTATACTTTCATACAGTCAGGGCAGTCTTTAACCTATGTCTTTGATGTGGATTATGACTTGAAATAGAGCAAGTCATACTAATGAGTGTACTTCTGATGATTTATCTTCAAAATGTGTATGTGCTTAGTATACCATAATTTATCTAAGCATGCTGAAGTCGGAAATCCTAATTTTTGGGCGAGAACAGCTTCGCTTATGTAAAAGCTAGTAAGTTGGTATTGTAGTCATTTAGGATCGATTTCATCGAATTATGTAAGGTTTTTGGTAATAAATATTGGTTATCGATTGGTGTTCTAACAGGAACTAGGGACTTTGTATTTGATCTGAAGGGGGCCCCTATCAATCGCGGGGCCCTAAGCACTTACCCAAAGTGCCCACTAGAAAAGAGGGACCTGCATACAGTGTCGTCAAATTCAAAGTTGACATCAAACTTGCAAACATGGTCTTGAGGTGAGGTCAACTCCCATCATAAAAATCGTATAGAAAATCCAATAGGCTTGTTGAAAATATATCGATGTATCCATATTTTTTGTTCGATATATCGATATTTTTTGCCGATACATTTTGATTCGATATATCGATACATCAATACAAAATGATCAATATCGAAATTCGTATCAAAAACGATATTTTTTTAATTATTAGCGGCATATCACGGTCTAACTAAATTCGTATCTGGAAAAATCGTAACTGGATCTCAGATTAATGATATTCAACATATCTATGATCTGTGCTTTATTAAGTATTGTCTATGTCATCATTCGAAAATAGGGTCTATTTTTAGGGAGATAATTTTCGTTCCATTATTATTCCGCGTGTCATATTTCGTGAGCTACTGTACGATATTTTTGGGAAAATTGGTCCGATATATCGATATATCGATGTTTTTTTCGCGATATATCGAAGCCGATATTGATATTTTTTAAAAGATCGATGTATCGATATATCGATTTTTTTTCAACTTTCGACAATACCCCTAAAATCCAATAGTTTTTAGTAGTGCTAGTGATCGCTATAAGGTAGCAATAGTCGCGCGGGCGGCAGTACCTGCGCGCGCCCTTGACCCCGCAATGTCGATACGTGTGATACGCGCTGCTGTCTGATGTTTGACTATCAATGCTTGTTGCCAACTGCCGAACTTGTATTACATATTGTGTTGGCAGTGGCGGACTAAGCTCGTCAGAGGCCCGGGGCGGCAAAATGAGGCCCCCCAGTTTTAAAGAAAAAATGTAGTTTCTTAGTTCGTTTCGGTAAAAACTGGCGAGTGGAATTTAAATTCCAATTAAATTATTTAAGCTATATAAACATACATACCTACAATATGGTACATATTGACTAGAAACGTATGTGCATATTGACTAGGAACTACGGATTATGATTTCTAGGCTAAATTATACGAATAATTACTTACTTTTTCCAAATAATTAAAAATGCACTAACTCAACTCTAAACTCATTTACTTTTATACCGAAACAAAAATCAAAAGCACTATTACACTTTTCAATGAGGTTACTTTGAACGGATTTTAAATGAGGCCAATGTTTATTTTTCGACGTAAACATAGTGAATGTTATTAAATGTAGGCGTATAAGAGTGAATTATTTGTACATCATTCATTCAGGGGTACCTGAGGAAGTACCCGCTACAGAGACGGGAATTCCCCCAGCGTATTGGACGCGTTCAGCGAAGTTATAAGAATATTAGTACCGCGTAAAAAGTCTAGATGGCTGTAGTGTTTTGATCTTGGTGGAATTATGTAGGTACTAAGCACATTTTTAAAGTCTAGTTTAGGATGCGATCAGGGAAACGCGGAGGCATTTGGGGGCCCCCCAAGATCGGAGGCCCGGGGCGGGCCGCCCCTTCCGCCCCCCTGTTAGTCCGCCACTGTGTGTTGGAATCGGTATTCAGCTCCCATTGTAGATGGTAATGGAGATTTAGTTTTGATGACTGATGATAATTATTCTTCCTGGTGTCGCTCGCGCGGAGTGTCTCTGAGGTTAGGGTCACCATATCTCAGGATTTGTCCTGAGATTTCAGGATTTTTGGACTCTTCTCAGGATTACGGCTGGATTTTGCAAATCTCATGAAATATCAGGATTTTTTTTGAATTTTCAATAAAATACAGATAACGTTTTAAAGATCTCTTTAATAAAAAGTTAAACAAACTAAAAATAATCTTTTATTGGTAATAATTGCACAATTAAAATCAGTACTTTATTATCCAAGTAGGTACTTATTCAGTTTTATCAAACTTAATATGTGAAGATACATTTTTTAAGTAAGGTTTTTTCTTTAATTATGGATTCATATAATGCCCCACACGTTAAGCTCTTCTAATTATATTGATTTAAAAGTATAAGCAGAGTATAAACGATAATATTACGACTTTTTTAAATTGTTAAGTACGTTTGAGAGAAAATTCTCAAACTGCAAAAAACCTCAGGATTTTTCAATGGAAATCAAGCCTTTTCTCCGGACTTTTGATTTTATCATCTGGTAACCCTCTCTGAGGTACATTACCTATTGAAAAACAAAAATGTAAAGTTCACTAGAAAAAAATCCACGCGGACCAGGCAGCGGACGGGACTCGAACCCGCATCCTTCGCAATCCGGGCGAATGCACTGACCATTATGCTACCACGGCCCTATTCTCCGCGTCGAAATTTTCCTAGCCTTAAGCTGCAAGGCAGCGCCATCTCTTCGCATTGTAGGCAACCCACAATGTCAAATGAATACTTTTTCAAGTATTAAACATTTGAAAGAAGAAATAGCAATTATAGTTATGATTTTATTTATTTTTTAAGCATTTCACTGCTAGATGTTTAAATCTAAAGAAAAGTTTACTAGAAAAAAAAAAATTTTTTTCTAGTAAACTTTTCTTTAGATTTACTAACACTTAGTTAAAAGTTATAATGTACACATATGGATCTGGGTTGTCTGCCAATAAATGTTATTATTATTACCTATTTGCCTTAACGGTGTTAATCGGAGCTAATTGTTGGCTGCTTCGCTCGTAGTTCAAGTTTATTTTGATTTTCTCTGTACAGACAATTACTGCTTCGTGTAGGATGTGTTTTATAAAATTCAATTTAAAATTCAATATCGTTTATTCAGTCTAGGCTGTTACAAGCACTGGTGAATGTCGAAAAGCTACGCCATCGGTTCGCAAAACTACGGCGGGAGACCTTGTACTGAGAAGAACCGGCAAGAAACTCAGCAAGGGCTGCTTTTTTCTCCCTGTTTTATTTCATACAGTGTCGTCCAATTGAAAGTTGACATCAAACTTGCAAACATGTGTTGAGGTCAACTTCCATCACATAATGTCAAATATGTAACAATAGACAATCAACGAATTTACTAACAATAAGTGCAAAGATAAGTCCCAAAATAGCAAGAAACAATTTTCAAAACAAAATGAACAAGTATATGAAAGGGAGTAAGTGCAAGGTTCTCTTCAAAACTCTTTCTAAGGCTGGGAGCCTTAGTTTTAATATAACTTTTGAAAAATTTTCTACAGGTAAAATTACAACCAGGCTATATTATAGTTAGTAACGATCGAGCGATGGCTGGTTCATGCGTGCTGCCAGCGGAGATGAGTCTGCTCTTGATTCACTGGGTACTATTAATCGTTGTACTAAACTTTAATCGTGCATTATTATTTTTTTTGCCTAAACAGTAGGACACGTCATTCCTAAACTTTGTTAAACCATTTTTTTATATATATTTTTATTTTATAGTCATAATTATTTTATTAATTGCATTTTATTTGTTTGTAATGAAAAGTGACTTCATGAGTTACCTCATATTGAAGTCATTTTTCAATTTGACGACTGTATAAAATACAGGGAGAAAAAAACAGCCCTTGCTGAGTTTCTTGCCGGTTCTTCTCAAGGTCTCCCGCCGTAGATTTGCGAACCAATGGCGTAGCTTTTCGACATTCACAAGTGTTTGTAACAGCCTAGACTGAATAAACGAAATTGAATTTTGAATTTTTTGAACGGATTGGTACCACTTACATAATCTTTATTTGTGGATTTTGTAATGAGTTCATGTTTCTTACATAATGTTTCTTGATCCTACACTAGTAACAGTCTATTATTTTAATCATCAACGATGTCAATTCTAAGATAAGGACAGTTTGCATTTAATACAAATGACCTCTTAATAAAGTAGTACTTCAACAAACATTTTTATTTTTACTGGGATCATTCTTAGACATTATTCATAACTAGAAGAAATAATAATATAGGTGGCAGCCAACAAAATTAGGTAGGTGCTTGTTTATACTAAAAGTGCATTTTTCTTGTTGGAAAAATCATAAAGCTTTCGAAATATGAGGGCAATCTTCAGTTGTAGACGCGCTATCCTTTACTTGTTGCTGTCGATACAGGGAGCTTATCGCTTCCCCTTATCGCCGCAGAAATAGACCCACCAATATTTATACACTCAAAACTAATCGGAACATAACGAAGTCTCCTCCGATAACGCGGCGGAGCGTCTTCATACGATCCCCGCTCGATAAACCACCCTATTGTTTCGGGCTAAAGTGTGATTTGCGTCGCGTTAGCGGCGTTCGGTATCAGCCCGATAAGACTTGCCCCCTGAACTCGCTCGAGTCGAGTTATCGCCTCAAGAACGTCCTATCGCCGACACCGGGGTCGGCCGAACTGTGTCGCAACAGGACACTCCGAATTATGGAAACTTTTCGGATCACGCAACACATCTAAACATTGTGAGAACACATGTTTTTATCACTGTGAGCGGGTAATGAGAAATTTTGCTAGTCATGTTGACGGGTGAGGCGTGACCGTTCTTCTGTAAATATTTTACTGAATAAAACTTCATAGCGGTGTCCTACTCTGATTCAACTACAGTGGAGCCCCGGTAATCCGGCCCCTGGCTAATGCGGCACCCCCTATCTTATAATCCGACATCGTCTATTACATACAAGTATTCTCTAATTCACGATTGAACAAGTTACAACTTGTACGCAGCATCACTATTTATTATTATTACTTTTATAATAAAACGTAATCTTTCTATTGTGTTGTTTAATTTACTAAATTTGACATACATAACGAAGTATGATTTGTAATCTTATCATTGGATCTGTAATTTGTCGGATTACAAGGTACTCTTTTGTAGAAAAAAACGGACTATAGGGGTGTTAGGCAGTACTCTATAATCCGACAAATTCGATAGTTCGACACTGACCTGCAAAATGTTTGTCGGACTACCGGGGATCCACTGTACTTTTCTTTCCTTACTATGTTTCTGATTGGTTTTTTATTATAATAATATTAGTCGTATAATAATACAAAGTATACTATAATACACAAGAGTTCCTTAGTGACACTTCTTTGAAAGTAATGGACATAATTAACTTATATTTTAGTCTATTATAGCACAATTTATTATTATTATTTATTTTTAGTTTGACATATTGCTTAGTAATTTTGACATTTAATTGTAACTATGACTTGTTTTATTGTAATTGTAATTTATTAATATGGATTTTTATATAATTGTAAACCTAATTATTTCATAAAATATATTGTATACCTTGTAATAAGGACGAAATGTAGTGACACTAAACTTTTACCCTAACACCAATTTGCTGTACTAACCTACATTTCACAATAAAGCATTTGAATTTGAATTTGAAATTCAAATGAATAAAGATTGAGGTGTACATTTTCTAAGCCTACTCAAAGATAGCTTTAATTTGATAGTTTATCGTACAAATTAAGTATAAAATTAAATTGACGAATTTTTTCGTTTGAACTTCGCTATCGAAAGTTCGTTTCGGATAAAGACAGTCGGCCCCTTGGTACGGGCAATTTAAAGGTGTCTGGGGTAGCACAATACATTAGGTCTGTCGTTATGTTTTCATAACCATTTAAACCACATCTCAAACGAAGCTGGTTTATACTGTACAGAATAAAAGCACTAACTTAAACTAAATTAACTTTAAGAGGAATATATATATAAATAACAACACAGTTTTGGCGATACAAATAAACCGCACAGTAATGAAACACCAAGTTTTGATGGAAAAGTTCGTGTTTTCTGACTGTAATTATGGATTTCTGTAACACAGATATTTCTGTAACACAGATATTTCTGTAACATGGATATTTCTGTAACACAGATATTTCTGTAACATGGATATTTCTGTAACACAGATATTTATGTAACACAGATATTTCTGTAACACAGATATTTCTGTAACACAGATATTTCTGTAACACAGATATTTCTGTAACAATCAAACAGAATAAGACATGAAGAGTCTTCATGTCTTATTCTGTTTCATTGTCGTCTAACTAATTTTACCGTTTCTTTCACCACTATAATGATACTTTTCTCGATGATGATGAGGAGCTCGATGGCGCAAGTGTTAAGCGCGTTCGGCTGCGATCATTGAAGTAAAGCATTTTTCGCAGTGGTCGTTTATTGGATGGGTGATGAAAAATTTACTATCTCGAGCTCCTCCGTGCTTCGGACTGCGGCTGCAAGTGCAGTCGTTAGCACCCACCAATCCGCACTGGGTCCGCGTGGTAGGTCATGGCCCAATCTCCCTATTCCATCCATAGGGAAGGCGTGTGCTCCAGCAGTGGGGACATTATAAGGCTATAATTTTAATTTTTTAAGTATGTAACGGCTTGATTGTTTTAAATCTAAAGAAAATATAACTAGAAAAAAATCCACGCGGACCAAGCGGCAGACGGGACTCGAACCCGCACCCTTCGCAATCCGGGCGAATGCACTGACCAATTATGCTACCGCGGCCCTGACGGCCGCGTCGAATTTCCGCTAGCCATGCTTAAGCTGCAACGCAGCGCCATCTCTTCGCATTATAGGTAACCCACAATGTCAAATGAACACTTTTACAAGTATTAAACATTTGAAAGAAGAAATAGCAATCATAGTTATAATCTTAATTGGTCAGTGCATTCGCCCGGATTGCGAAGGGTGCGGGTTCGAGTCCCGTCTGCTGCCTGGGCCGCGTGGAATTTTTACTAGTTATATTTTCTTTACATTATAAGGCTGATGATGAATGATACTTTTAAGAGCCAACATAGATAATTTATCAGACTAGTGGGTTCCCGCAACATCGTCCGCTTGATAATATGCTTCCCGTACAAACTTTCACCCTGTTTCAGCCCCTTAATGTATGATTTTTGAGACTATAGCTTCCTAATGTCCTACCCCATAACTCAAACTATGTCTATACTAAATTTCAAATTTCATCTAAATCACTCTAGAGGTAACAAACAGACCGACATACGCTTTCGCATAGGACTGTTGATAAAATATAGATATATCGAAATATCGATATTTATTACTAATATTATTTTGGGCGATATATCGATACTTCGATATTGAAATATGAATATCGACGGTCGATATTTTTTAAAAATAAGTTTTCATTATCTATGGTCTGTCTCTGTACTACTCTGTAGTCGGTGATTAATACGAGCAAAGGTTTTTTGGCGGGATTTCATCGAGTGCGGTTGGCGTCTTATTTTAATTATTCTTAAATTCGTTCATAGTGGGTATTGTGAAATAAAATTGGTGTGGTTTTGTGTAACAACTGTCTGCGTAACTGAAGAATTAGTGGAATCATTAAAATATACGCTATTCCGGTCAAGTGGACGTGAGAATTTTATTGTAGTGTTGACTACCTCACAGAAGCTTATCGAAAAAGCCAACTCGATACATTTCGTGCCAAACACTCCAAGAAACATTAGAATGCGTCATACCGACATTCTAATGTAAAAACAAAAAGAAGATTAATTTAATTAAAGACCAGGCTGTATGGGCATTGTTCCCTTTGCCTTCCCTAAAACGGGAGAACTTCAACAAAAAAATAATAATACGAGCAAAGTTAAAAAGAATTGTCGCAAAGGTATTAGCATCAAGAACTAAGAATAAAGTACCTGATATGGTAGCTACTTCACAGTTAACTATTTTGCACGATTTAGTTACGCTTCTTGGTCCATTTAAAATAGTAACAGAAGATTTGAGTGCTGAGAAATATGTCACAGCTAGCTTAGTAATACCATTAACAAATTTATTAAAACAAGAAATCGAACAAACTAAAATATCTACAGCTATTGGTTTGTCAGTACAAAATGTTTTATTGAAAGGTATTGAAGATAGATTAGTGTCTTTACAAGAAAACCTTCTTTTGGCCAAAGCAACTATCTTAGATCCCCGCTTCAAAAAGTTACATTTCATGTCAGCAATGGCCGCTGCTAATGCAATAACAGATCTATCAAAAGAAATAATTGCAGAACACAAAATAAGAGGGAATCGTTCACCTACAGTTGGTGTTTCTCCACGTGTAGAAAAAGAAACAACTTCATCGTTATGGGACAGACATGAAAATATGCTTTTGAAAAATATGTCCAATGCTAATGAAGTTTTTGGTAAAAGTTTTAGTGCAATGCCTGCTGAATTAAAACAGTATTTAGATCAGCCAAATATTTCAAGGTCATCAAATGCACTAAAATTTTGAATAGATAGTAGACATTTTACACCAGTGTTATCAGAAATAGCTGCTAAATATTTGATTTCATCTGCTACATCTGTAGCATCTGAACGAATTGCTTCTACAATCAATCTTTTAGTGCCTAATAATCGTAGTAGTCAAGCAGCTGAACATATAAAACAACGAGTGTTTTTGAAAACTCTTACTGAGAAATATTGGTATGCATAGTTGTTTAATAAAAATTCAACAATAATTGTTAAGAACCTAACATTTTCATACATTTATAATTTAATTTGTTTAATAAATATACTGAATTAAAAACTGTGTAAATAATTTCTGAGCCGACTTAGGATTGTTTTTTTAAACGAAAGCCTATAAAATAAAATCAAAAAAAATATCGATCTATCGAAATATCGATATTTTTTTTCGATATATCAAACTCCGATATTGATATATTTTAAAATATCGAGAATACGATATTTTAAAAAATATCAACAGTCCTACTTCGCATTTATAATATTAGTATAGTATGTACAGGTAAGTACTAAACTAAGCTCGGATTATATGGAATTGATTTAACCTTACCCGAAATTCGGCAAAAGTAAAGTATTATTTTTGAAGTTATACTTCTTTAAGCGCGTTATGAAAAAATGATGAGAGTGAAATTTTAAGATGCGCGCGCATCACTGTAACACAAAAAATTAACAGCATGTAGTTGGTCGCTTTAGCAACCAACTTCATGCGTTACTTTTGTGTTTACCGCACATTAAGAAAATCTACCAACAAAATAGAAATAGAATCTCTATTTAGTGGGTGCTAACGACTGCATTGTGAAGGCCTATCAAAAGTATTTATTAATCTGGAACAACGGAACCAAAGCGCGATTCAGGAGACTACAGCGCCATCTCTTGACCATTGGTGTAGTAGAACCAAAAACCACGTCTTTATTTTTTGTAATAAAGTAACAGTTATAGGTATTCATATTTATAATATTTATCCACATGTTTCTAGTTTGTATATTCGGAATACGTGTTTGAGTTTCATACAAGTGCAAATCACATATGTTCTAATAAATTATATTCAGTAGCGATTTTAATTGAATATTTTGATTATTTATTTATTTTTTCAAATTAAAACTAAACTTTATTGACTGTGTCCTTTTCCAGACTTTTTATTAATTTATTGTAATTAATTATTTGCATGCAATTAAAAACTAATTTTAAACGATGCCAAAGAAGGATAACTTCTCAAGCGCCTACATAAGTACACGCACCCATTTTTTTGTTGTCATATCTTTACAATAAAAACTTTGAGTTAACCAAATACATAATATTAACTGATTAATTATCAAGTTTAAGAAATCCACTTACCTACTTAAGTTACAAAACATAAATTTAAATTAGACCTATAGTGAGTCATAAATTTTCTCATATTTGAAGCCATTTAAATACGCTGTCTCACAGTCAAACACAAACTATAAACACAGATCATAAATAACAGTTAATGATGAATAGTTTGTATATCTTTAATTAACTAAAAGAATAATAATTTTGAAACATTTAAATAACACATACTTGGACACTATATTGCTTAATCTACTTAAATAAATAAATTACAAAATAAAGAATCTGTCACTCCCAGCGGCGCCATCAGGAATAGTGCCCAATAGGATGGCAGCATTGTCACGTTGGATGGCAAGGCTGAACCGATAACCATTGTTTTTATGATGAATTGCAAGTTATATAAGAAATATTTGAATAGTTTAGCATAATAAGTTAACGGTTGCATGTTACTCATAATCGGTCTAGTACCCACTGGACCTTTATAATGAGGGCTATCGCGTATGAATCCGCCGCTAGAGGCGCTAGTGTAGCGTGAGGTCTCCGAAATGTCAAATGTTATAGCTTGTTGGTTGACTACGCGGGTTTATTTCTAATTAAAATAATGTTGTGAATAATTGGTAACAATTCGGCTTAATTATGGCAAATATGAGTTATGTGGCAATGAATGTCAGTTATTAAAAATTTGTGCTTAGAAAAATGATTATGTTCCCATTTTTTCCGAATAAAACGGAACTGCGCGTCACTGTGGCATGGCCTATTATGTATAGGATATGGTTCTTTTGTGTTAAAATGCGATCTAAATGTAACCTTTGATTTCATGTGCGTATTAATAAACTTTAAAAGTTACAATTTAGGACCTCACTCAACAGTGGCGCCATCTGGTGAGGCAGAAAACGGTAGCCCTCATTGGACCTTACCTACAAAAAATACTAAACTAACTAAAAATGATAAAGCTGTTGAATTGATGTTACGTAATAAATATCCAGGTTTTAAGCAAATTTATACAGACGCATCTAAGAGCAATTTTGATTCGGGGTATTCTTTTTATGACCACAGTACAACGTTTAGTGCTAAATTTAAAGTTGAGAATAAATCTATTCCCATTATGGGTTTGGAGCTGCTTACAATGACGGAAGCACTAAGTAATGTTGAGTCCTGCGGCTATAAAGATATTGTCCTACTTACTGATTCTGCATCCTCGTTGTACCACTTGTTAAGGGTCGGTAAGGGTTGTTTTGGTAGATTAGAGGTGTAGGAAGGCCAATGTATATGCTAAGGCTGCACTAACAGGCTCCCATCAAAGGACACCCGGCATTTTGTGCCAAAGTTGTATACTTCTTTAAATTTTTTATCTGTGTTTCATAATTGGGTAACGTAGTTTGGCAATATTTGTCATCAGCAGCTAGCTGTCAATGTCAAATACGTAGGTTTGTCATCAAAAAGGTTTCTATATCAAAAAATATTAATCATTAAATGACTTCTTTCCACGATTCACTAAAAATAAGGCAAAAGTAGTTTTATGTAGCTAATAATTTTGGCTTTATTTTGAGATCAAATTCAACTGTATACAAGTTTAGCATTTTTTCTATGAAAAGTGCCGGGTCTCCTTTGGCTAGGAAGGGCGGGCAACTCGAGCAGTGAAGGTGAGCGTTGATGCGCATCTCAAGGGGGCATCTTAAACCTGGGTCGCAAGCCCCGGGAACTGTTCAGAGTTTCTCTCTCTCTCCCACGCGATGGACCCGGCACCCGCACGGTGAATCCAGGAATTGCTAAGAATTCGTTCGTTCGTCTCTTTTGGAGCTCTTATATCATTGGACTATTTGGCTAATACTTTTGCATCTGTATAGTATAGTTGTGTTGTAAAGAAACATTATAAAAGAAATAAAAACACAATGGTTACAGTTATATAACTATACTAGCGGCCCGCCCTCGCTTCGCTTCGGTGTAGAGGTGAAGTGTAGACTACAGTTTTTGTTCTCAGGCTTGTATTATACACAATGACATTCATCTATGATTCTTCTTATACCTGCATGCAAAGTCTCAGCCCGATCGGTTTAAAATTGACAAAGTTTCATACAAACTTTCATTCCCTATTTTATCAAAATCCTTTCTTCTTGGATCCGTCCAGTGGTTTGGGCTGTGCGTTGATAGATCTCTATGTCAGTCAGTCACCTTTAAGTTTTATATATATAGACATATGTATAAAGAAATTCAAATAGAACACCACGTCAGCAAAAATAACCATAAACTTTTCTGTCCGCTCAGCGCGTTAAAAATGGATTTCCGTACACTTTTCCATCCCGCATTAGTACAACAGTGATGAGGTCCAATCTGCTTCATTTTTAAACTATGAATAAAGTATTTTCCGAGGACACCTGCTCGGAAAGTGCTTTAATCTTCTTTTACAAATGTAGTAGTATATAAGATATTTTCCAGACCGTCACACCAACCCAATAACAACCACTCATAAAGCCAGAAACATATTAACGTGTCGTGACGCGCCAGAATCACATCGGTTTTATACATTTGCTATATTTAGTGACATATTTACGTGTCGTGTCGTATCGACTCTCTTATCTCTCTCTCTCTTTCTAACCCAAAATAAATGTATGAAACCTATGCGTCACGACACGCCACGACACATTAATATGTTTCTGGCTTAACTCGTACAAACTACAAAAGTCAAGCTACCTCTAACTTTCCAGCGGGTCGACAGACGTCAGAATTATTAGCTGCTATATTAAAATGGCAATTTTTAATAAATTAATAGTAGGGCAGGGCTCCTTCGGGGACCGGGGGTAGTGTACAGTGGGCAGGCGCAGTCTGAAGGGGGGGTCACAGGGGACATGACCCCCCCCCCCCCCCAAATTTAAGGTCAAATTGAAAAATCTTGTGTTAAAAAGTGTCTTGTGGAATAATGTTTATTTTATTCCAGATACCTATTTTTTATTAGTGTAGTGAGTGACCCCCTCCAAAATTTCAGGCTGCGACCGCACCTGACAGTGGGTGTGGACGCCCGGACGGGTGGGTGTCATGCACTTGGACAAACAGACCGCACTACACACACCATTACTCCACTTTGCACAGGCACTTGTGTAACGAAACACACGAAAATTCGGTCACTCATATCGATCGTCATCCATGTCGCACGTGGGGCTGTGTTCTAACAGCGATGAAATACTTAAACCTATTGCATACTGGAACTGAATAAACTTAATTCTTGTTAATGTGGCCATACATTGGGTATTTGAAGGAAATATATTAAGAGGAGAGGGGCTTGAAGGCGCAAGTGTTTAGCGCGTTCGGCTGCGATCGTTGCGGTTAAGCAACTTTCGCAGTGTTCGGTCATTGGATGGGTGACCGAAAATTTGGTTCCTCGAGCTCATCCGTACTTCGGAAGGCACGGTAATCCGTTGGTCCCGGCTGCATCTGCAGTTGTTAGCAATCCTCCCTAATGTTAAGTATCCAGTTGCGGAGATAGCTGACGCGGCAGAAAAGTCCCGGTATAATTTCTGCTTGCTGCGGCAGTAAGGTGATAGCTTCATTTTTTTTGCTTGCACCAAATCATCATCATCAGCCGATGGACATCCACTGCTGGGCATAGGCCTTCTCAAGGAAATTGTTATGCACAACGCTTTCCACATCCAGTGGATCCCCCAACTCGCTTGATTTCGTCAGTCCACCTGGCGAGGGGTCTACCGCCACTGCACTCCAGGGTACGAGGTCAGCATTGAATTACCCTGTAGCCTCATCGTCCAGCGGTACTATGTGCTGTATCTTTGCACTAAATGCTCAACAGCTATTCCTTAAATAGAACTAGTTTTTCACGGGTTAATGCACGAAACTTTATTTATTTATTGACGTTTACAGGCTGCTTCGTCGGAATCAATTTTTAAAAGTCTTTCGAAGGTAGCTCGAAAAAAATTAAATAAAAAATTGATTCCGACGAAGCAGCCTGTAAAGGCTGCGAAACGTCAATAAATGAATAAAGTTTCGTACATTAACCCGCGAAAAACTAGTTTTATTTAATGAGTGATGTACGTGAAAACCTAAGAAACAAATAAGCTATTCCTTCTTTGCTTGTTTGAAGTCTTACTTACTGACAGACACACAGCACCCCCAAAAGGTACTGTCATTTGTTTAACATCAGTACGAGTGTTTGGAAACTTCGAAATAGGTCGTCCACGTTGACTATTGTAGACCATAAATTTGTCGTTCCTTTAGCGCGCCATCCGACTTAGGGTTGCCACCTTTTTTTTGTCCAAATAAAGTATATTGGAACTTGAAAGTAGAAAAAAAAGTACATTGTGTCCAAAATAAAGTACTTTTTATTCTACTTTATAAGTAAGCTTAAAAATATATTTTACGTTGCTTCTAGCAACTTCTAATAAATAATTTGTAGTTTCTAAAAATATGCAGTTCTTTTCCGCAACAGGAAAGGTCATGGCACAAAGCCATACAGCCACGACAATGTTACAAGAATGAGCCAAGGGCGGCATATTATACATACAGTCTGTCCGTTTTACGCAAAAAAAAATCCAATAAATCCCTTTTTGTATATTGTATGCAAAGTTAATCGCCGAGTAATCAAACCACATAAAATAAAGTATTTTCGCGTACTTTATTGTTGTCATAAAGTATAGAGTACAATTACCCGAAATAACGTACAATACTTTATAATAAAGTACGGGTGGCAACCCTAATCCGACTGTAGGTACTTCGATCTGGTCGAATCTGCATTTACAGTAATGTACATTCACATTACAATGAAGAATAAAAACAAACAACACAAACTCAATTCCCAAAAGATAATTTTGTATAAACAAAACCTGAATCCAAAAGGCTACATAATTAATTTAAAGTAATGATATTTACTATTTATAAATAAATATAAATATTTCCAACACTCACACCAATTAGCCTAGCCCCAAAGTAAGCACTGTAAGGCTTGTGTTATGGGATGCTAGGGTAACGGATAGAATACATATACAGTACATATATAAGTGTATTTATATATAAATACATATTAAACATCAATGACTGGATAACAAATGCTCGTATTCATCACACAAACATCTACCCCCACCGGGATTCGAACCCGGGACCTTTCGAGTCAGTGACACCATGAAACCCGGCGTACAAACCTCTCGGCCACGGAGGTCGTCTTTAAATTTTTACTATACCTGACATTTTTGCAGGCCGGCAAAGTGAGGATGGTTGGTGTAGCAGTTTATAACTACCGTACCAGTTATCTTCACGTTTGAACTTTCACCACTCAACATCAGGTGGCATCATTTGCCTACCTGGCTATAAAAAAACACGTAACAATGTTCATATCCTATTCAACGATCTCGAGACAATGTATCACATATACGGGGGGGGGGGTCCCCATGAAGAATAATGAAATTGAATTTTGAACTAAAAATTCGACTTTGGGTAAGCATTCTCCATAAAATATGAAAATTTCAATCCTGTAACTCATTCCGTTTACGATCTACCCGTGGCATATGGACAGACAGACAGACGACAGAATGTGAGTAATAGGGCTTGAGTACAGAACGCTAAAACTGAATCATCGAAGTTGACCGATAAATGTATATACATCTTTATATATATAATTCTTCTGTGAGTGTGTATGTCACTGAACTTCTCTTAAACGACTGGACCGATTTTGATGAATTTTTTTGTGTGTGTTCAAGGGGATCTGAGAATGGTTTAGATTCACAAAGACGTGTAGACAGGACAACGTCTGTCGGGTCCGCTAGTATAGGTATATAATTGAAAACCTTTGTCTTTTTCAAGTCGGTTAAAATAAAGTATCATGGCTTGTTAATTTAACTATAATCAGTATTGCCATGTGCAAAGTTTTAATATTTGCTGCTCTCTGTCCACTGCAGACTTATTGTGGTTTGACTTTATTAATTGATATGACATAAAATTTCGCTGCAATCTTAAAATGTAATTGACTACCGTGCTGTGCCGAGCTGACAAAACAGGAGACGAGGAACGCTACCGCGCTGTCAAATTCGCAGGGATGTCAAATAAATAAAATAAATGAACCCATCCTTCACGAATATCAAAATTTTTAATGCATATTAATTATTTAAACATTTTTGTATTTTATAAAGTCTAGTTTTAGTAAAATCGTGGGACTAAGATAATAAAATGAAATCAGTATAAATTGGCTAAAATTAAATAATTAAATAACTGTTCCTTGATGGTTTAAGTATATTCATTACATACTTAACGTAATACGGCAACCTTTGTTTCTTGTGTGCACAATATATATAGGTAAATAAATTAAGAACTGTCCCAAGAGAGCTTTTTTGTTATTATTATTTTATTTAATCTTAAACAAGTTGTGTGTGAAACAGAAAAAAACTAACCAAAGCCTATCATAAATTATATTGATGTTTAAAAACCAATATTTTGAATTATTATAAAAAAAAAACATAAAAAATTAAGATTGTGATTATACCTGTAATACATAAATAAAATACAGAGATAATAAATAATATTGTTGAGGATAGGAGGAGGATAATGGATAAAAACAGGAATAACGTTAGTAAAATATATTGTAGGACATTCAGTACAACGAGAATTTTTAACAGTTTGAGTGACAGCAAAAACATAGATAAATCGTAGTTATAAAAATGACAACAAGTAGGTTTGATTTGCCACAAATATGACTCAATTAATAATTAAAACCTAAGCTCTAACATTTGCTCCAGGACTTGTAAAAATAAAGATAAAACACCAAAGGATACGATAATAAATATATTATTTTTAAGGATGCTTCAAAATTTCATTCCTCCTCCACGCGTCGTTTTCGTTACTGAGTGTCGTGAATATAAAGCGAAAATTTATCGAGAAAAAAAAATTAAGGTACGCTGTGTGTAATTATTTAGTCATTTTCACAATTTTGTTTGAAAACCAAATAAAAAAAAATATTCGGTCGTTGATGCACTTTATTTGCTAGCAGTCAGTTCAATAGTCGATCTATACAGATATACAACACCAATAATAAATATATTTATGTATATGATAAAATTTATTATCAATGCAAAGATCTACTGATAAAATGGTTAACAGCTAAAACATATGATGAAATCGAGATACTATTAAGCAGAGCCTAGTATTCTTGCACACACTAAGACACATATACACGCACATACACTACACCAACACGAACACACACACACACATACACATGCATACAAAATACAAACACTCACTCCCACATTTACAGTTATGTAGGCATAAACACCAAACGTCTAAACTAATTAGATCTTGGTCATGGTTTCTTTAGATTTTATTGGATTGTTATAATTATCTATTTTAAGGAAGAGCTGTATCTCCTGACACAGGCTATTTAAGCTTAAAAGGAGATGCTGGTCATTAGTTTAAGATCACATTATTGTTCAAGCCAATAAAAAAAATATTATTATTATTATGATATACACCACCGACTGTTCCGATCCTTGACAACGTGAAGTGCGTCGTGAGGTAAACATCCTTTTTTGTTTAAAGGAGACCCGGCACTTTTTATAGAAAAAATGCTAAACTTCAATACAGTTGAATTTGGTCTCAAAATAAAGCCAAAATTATTTGCTACATAAAACTACTTTTGCCTTATTTTTAGTGAATCGTGGAAAGAAGTTATATAATGATTAATATTTTTTGATATAGAAACCCTTTCGATGACAAACCTACGTATTTGACATTGACAGCTAGCTGCTGATGACAAACATTGCCAGACTACGTTACCCAATTATGAAACACAGATAAAATAAAAATGGGTGCGTGTACTTATGTAGGCGCGTGAGAAGTTATCCTTCTTTGGCATCGTTTAAAATTAGTTTTTAATTGCATGCAAATAATTAATTACAATAAATTAATAAAAAGTCTGGAAAAGGACACAGCCAATAAAGTTCAGTTTTAATTTGAAAAAATAAATAAATAATCAAAATATTCAATTAAAATCGCTACTGATTAAAATTTATTAGAACATATTTGATTTGCACTTGTATGAAACTCAAACACGTATTCCGAATATACAAACTAGAAACATGTGGATAAATATTATAAATATGAATACCTATAACTGTTACTTTATTACAAAAAATAAAGATGTGGTTTTTGGTTCTACTACACCAATGGTCAAGAGATGGCGCTGTAGTCTCCTGAATCGCGCTTTGGTTCCGTTGTTCCAGATAAATAAATACTTTTGATAGGCCTTCACAATGCAGTCGTTAGCACCCACTAAATAGAGATTCTATTTCTATTTTGTTGGTAGATTTTCTTAATGTGCGGTAAACACAAAAGTAACGCATGAAGTTGGTCGCTAAAGCGACCAACTTCATTATGTTAAAATTTTGTGTTACAGTGATGCGTGCGCATCTTAAAATTTCACTCTCATCATTTTTTCATAACGCGCCTAAAGATGTATAACTTCAATAAAAAAGTATACAACATTGGCACAAAATGCCGGGTGTCCTTTAACTCTATGTTGGCAGCCCTAACACCTCGTCAAGATATAATTCCTTACTCCACAGATGTTTATCTTACCGGCCCCGCGCCCACGCCTCATGTGCGAATACATTATAAACGTCCTTATTTTTTATTAGCTACCCAATTCACATGCATGCACCCGCCGGTATAAAATGTAATACAAATCTAAAGGAAATGTAACTAGAAAAAAATCCACGCGGTACAGGAAGCAGACGGGACTCGAACCCGCACGCTATCCGGACGTAACATCTAGCAGTACTACGAAAGTAATAAATCCAAATCAATTATATAATATAATATAAT